AATATATAAATACAGCAAACACATGAGATCACATTGGACTTTAGTAGCTTATTAAGGACGTAAGTATATCTCACATACAATTTAAAGCTGTTTTTTTCCCCAAACCAAGAAGAGGTATTTTATTTCCTCTTTTTGTTTATTTTAAGATATTACTATTGACAGGGATGGAGTAATGATTACCATTACTTCAAATGATTTTGAAGTGCTTTGTAAAGCAAATGATAAAAAGACCAATCAGTAGTAACAGTGAGATGTCAATTGAAGTCTGTGTTAAAATAAGTTGATATTTTCTAAATATATTATTGCATAATATGAAATTGTACCTTAATTTTCATTATGAAAATTGAATGTTATATTGAGATGATTTTAATGACTAAAGCAATGATTTTCTTAAAAATTTACTGTGACTTGTTATTTTTAAGGCTTGATTAATTGATTTTTGCCTTGACCTAGAGAAGTTTTCTGCCTTAAATGTATAACCTCCTCTCCACCTACCCCTGTGTAAAATTTGTTATTATTCACTGTTAAGGGTGAGGGTCTCTGAGGAGGAGAAACTGGTAGTCAAACTAGGCCACCGTGAAGAAGCGTTTATGTGAAAATCCCAGAAAACTCAAACATTCCTGTTTAAAAGAGGTGTGGGGACTTCAGTGGCAGTTATTGAGATTTTAAAATATTAATGAAAATTAGTATTCTTAAGTAGTAAATTATAGTTGTTATTGCTTGTTGATGTTACTTTCTTTTTTGGAGGGGGAGCATTACTAGAATTTCTTACAGTTAGATTAGTTTATAACCCTTAATTATTTTCACTATATCCTTGAATTTGGGTGACATTTAGTTAATTTTGGTATTGCTTCACAGCATCTCAACCGAAAGATAAAGAACACTGGGAAAGATGTGAGTAGGTCAAATGTATGTTAAAAATTTTGCTGGTGAATAAAAAGTCAAATAAATTAACAAAGTCTTAAAGCTACTTAGGATTCAGGCCAAATCCAGGCCTCTACCTGGTATTCTTTTCATTAAACTATATTATGTAGTCAGAGATCTGAATAGGTAGACACATTCTTAAGTTGAATGTAAAGGGATCACATTTGGGAGGTAACATATAATTGATCCTACAGGCTCTGCCTGTCTAAATTCTTTTCTTTTAAGAACTGAGTCATACATTTCTTCTCTTTGAAGTGTACCTTGATACCTCCCTCCACTCCCCAACAGAGCTAGTTTCAGCTTGCTCTCATTGCTCTGAATTTTGAAGATTACTCGTTTGTTTTATGATAGTACTTCTTTGCTTTGTATTTGTTATTTAATTACTTGCACATTGCATCTTCCCTATGGGGTTTCTAGTTTACTGTGGAAGGATCTTGGTCTGATTTCGATATGCTTTCTCAAGACCAAAGGTGACAAATGCTTAAATGCTTTATTATCTGAAGTAATACTACGGACGATTAAGATGTTTTTAATAGAAGTTCTTTGTAAATAATATTCAACTAGTGCTTTTGTTCTGCCTTCTTTTCTTTCTTTCTTTTTTATATATGCTTATCTTTAGTACATAAAGATGGGTTTTCATCACAGACTCAAAGAACCTTAGGAAATAAGACAGTTGCACATACACAATACGTAAAACTGCAAATCAGAGGAGTTCATTGTAATATGCAGTAGAGAGGGAAAACATCCCAAGAAATTGTGACTCAGTCTGGACCTTGAAGGGTAGATTATATGTGTCAAGGCAAAGAGGATGAGAAAGGCGTTCAAATGGAGACCAGGATGAGCAACACTTAGAGATGGGAAGATGCCTGGAATGATGAAAGCAGGGGATGGGAAGATCATTGTGGCGGCAGGAGGTACCTGTCAGACTTTCATTCACTGCCACTCGTCTTGAAAATCAAGTCCACTGTGGACAAAGTTGTTCCTGCTGGTTTGCCCTGCTGCCTGTGACAGTTGGGCTTCTCTTCTGGCCTTCTTTATAAAACTCACATAAAGCCCTAAAGTTCCCAATTATCCCTTGCTAATAAATCCAGTATGTGTTTTTCAATACTCATTTTTTTAAATGGAATCAATTAATTAAAAAAAAAAAATCCAACGTAAGTAATCCTGATATAAAAATTTATTTTTTTTCCGTGAGAATTTTTTTCCTTCTCAGTTACATGCATAGGTACCTCATCTTTCATGGGAAATAGTCATTGAATTTATTCCATTAATACGAGTGGCTACTATGTGGCAGGTATTGTTTCAGTGATTCTATACATTTGCAAATGTGTGACACCCCGCAGTGGAGACAAGTCCTTATTCTCATGGAATTATTTATTCTTTAATGGAAGGAGATATGGTAAACAAGGATGTTAGTTGTTGATAAGCCCTAAGGCAAAAAGTAAAGCAGAGAAATAGAAGCCTTTATCTTAAGGTCAGGCAGAGACCCTTTAGAGAAGGGTCCTGAGTCAGGAACATTCTAGGTGTGTTCAAGGAAAAGGCAGTAGTTATAGGATTGGAGTGCAGTGAGCCTAGGGAGAAAGTGGGAGAGACAAGATTGGAAAGGCTAAAGGTGAGGGAGGAGAGATTAAAGGACTCTAGATGTTATTTTGGGTGAGGTCAGAAGCCATTCCAGGGTGTGAGAGGAAGTGCAGTGATCTGACTTATGTTTTACTAAGATCACTCCAGCTGTTAGGCTGGGACATTGAGAATAGAATGCAAAGTGACAATGTCTGGAAGGGGGAGACCCATTAGAAGCTTGAAGAGAGGTGCTCGGTGAACAAGGCTGTTGGCGGATTCTGAGTCTAATTATGATACAGTATAGAGCTGGCAGAATTTGTCGATAGATTGCATTGTGAGTATGTGTGTGAGAGGGGATTTTTGGTACAAGAAACTGAAAGAATTGTGATTTACTGAGGTGGGAAGACTGGGAGAGGAAAAGATTTGGTTTGGAGTAGCTGGGGAGAGGAATTACAAGTTCAATGAAGCTGGATAGTCATCTGAGTCCAGATGTCGAGTAGGTGTTGTGTTTACAAATCCGGAATTGAAGGGAGAGAGCCAAGCCGAATATTTGGCATTTAAGATTTTCTTCATGTAGACTTTGTAAAATTCTTGTTATATTTATTGTAAGAATGTTAAAAATTCATTTTTGTTGTTATTAGAAAAGAAGTTTTCTTCTTTTATTATATTTTCTGACCAGTGTTTGCTTACATCTACATAGGCTATTGACTTCAGCATGTTAACTTTATACCAAGCTACCTTACTGAATTCTCTTCTTTATAAAAGTTTTTAGTCGATTAACTGATTTCTCCTCTCCTTCGACTTCTCCGTGGAATTTTACTAAATTGTTCAATTCTAGACACTGCCATTTTCTTTCATGGCTCCATTTGCTTTCCTCTGTCTGAAATATCAATTATTTCTTGTCTTTCCCTGTGAGTTTCTATTCATTTCCTCAAGCCCAACTCATATTACCCCATCTGTAAAACATTTATGGATTCCTAGGAAAGTTTCTCTTCCTATGAACTTCGGCTCTACCACATGCATATCTATATTAGAGCAATCATTAAACTATATTGTAGTTTTTGTATATATCTGTCAGTTTTTGAGTGGTATGGTCTGGGTCATATCTTTACATCTCCAGTGTTTAGCTAAATCTGCCACATGATTGTTTGTTACAGGATGAACATTTATTGAATACATAATGGTAAATTTCTGTAAACTAAGAATGTTTTGAAATTGGAATAAGTTTTTCTTCATATAAATTTTATAAACTTATTATATTTTAACACTTTAAATAAAAATTTTATTTTTGTTGCTATTATCAAAGAAATCTTTTCTAAAGTGCCATATATCTTTGCAATTATACTCTTAAGTATTAAAGGCCCATTGTTTTAGAAAATTAATATACAATGTAGGAAACTTGCTTCTGATTTTTTGTTATGCTGAGTGCATAAAGGTGCTCAGATTTATGAGACCTTAAATTTAAAAACTACTGAATGGCCAGATGATACATACTTACTGACAAAGAAGACCTTTTACTTGTTTGATTTTAATTTTTGCCAAGAAATGGAGGGAGGGTGGAATTAAAGTTCATAGTTTTCTGAATGGAAAGCAGTAGTATTTGTTCTTCCAAAAGCAATCAGCCTTTTATAAAGTTAACATTTTCAAAAGCTCTAATTTGTAATACTTTAAAAAAACCTATATAATTATTTGTAGTTAAATATAAAATATTTATTTCCATGTTTAATTTTTTCAACCTATCAAATCATTAAATTGGTCCTTGTGAATTTTTTCAGTATGTCTACTACCTATTTCTGTTATAAATTAAGGGGTCGTCCCAGTGACACTGAAATATATTTACTAGAATGATTATTTGTAACATTTTTTCATTGAAACAGAAATATAATTTATCAAAGAACCAATTACAGTTCATTGTTCATTGCTAAGTGTAGTGGGAAATGTGACAGGCTTCTTTCTTGTAGGGGGTTATATATGTAGGCAGAGAGATGAAACTGGCTCCCCGCCACCCCCCGCCAATAAAAAAACAACCTATATTTGTGGAATCTATTTTTTGTGCTCTATAGAGGGAGACACTGTGTAAGAGGTGGGTGGTGAGGGAGAGGTTGGTTTTAGCTAGCTTCGAAGGATAGATAAGTAGAATTTATCTGGATAGAGAGGCAGAAAACACTGGAATGGAAACAAATAGAATGAAAGGCACAACAGTAAAAGCTATTATGAGGTACAGGAATGAGATACTGATCATCTTGAAACATTAAGGATTTTTGTAATTTGTCTCATCAAAGAAAATGTTATACTTTTGCTTTGCTATAGTGAACACATTAATTGAACTTAATGGAAGCAAATATCAAATCTCTTTGTTATTATGTTTCTTTTATTACCAAGTAATATAGGCATTTTTTTCCAGATATGAAGAACATATATTTTTTTTGTTTTCTTGTTTTTATTAAAGTGGATCATATTAGAAAGTTACTTTTAAAATACATATATTTTATTTTGTGTCTTTTTTTCAATTTTAGGAGAAAACCAAAAGCCAAAGCACCACTTCCTCCAGCTGAGACCAAATACCTTGATGCCTCTTCAGTTAATGATTCTGTAGAATCCTCTGCTTTCATCACAGAACAGAAAGAGAGCATGATAGATAAAGACATCCAACTCTCAGTGGTTCTACCTGGGGATATTATCAAATTTACTACTGTTCATGGAAGGTATGATGAGCGAATAAAATACCAGAACTTCCCTTTCTTCTCCTGTCATTGAAACCCTGTGTTGTATACTTTTTTCTTTGACAAAATACTTCATCATTCAGTTTAGTTATTTATTTAAAAAAATGCTAAAAGGTATTAGAATTTTTCTAACAATGTTTTAATATCAGTACTATGAACTTTACAACCCCAGGTCACATGACTCTTGAAATTTAGAACTATTTTATATTTTGTTAATCATTTAAAATTTTTTTTAAAAATAGCCTTTCCCAGAGGAACAGTCATCAGTTATATTGATTTTGTAAGTCAAACTTACAAAAGCAAGCCAGTGACTCATAAGAAAACCCATTCCCTTCCTCTTGAAGTTACTTTTTCTTTTAAACTGTTTCTTTGAATTTGATTTTCCAGAAGTTACTAATTACTCTTAAAATGTTATTCTATCTTATTTATCAGAACAGATAAGTCTATCTATAAAATTAGCAGAATTTTTCACATCATTGAATGATTTAATTAATTTACTAAAAATGTAGATAAGTTAATAGAAATGTAAAATTAAACTTTAACCCAGCAAGAAGTGAAGATGTGATTTAGGAGACTGATATTTTTAATACTTACATAAAAATTGGAAAAACTGAATAAAGCCAAGTGTAATTTTCCAGTTTGAAGTGGAAAGTTACATGAGTTGTATACTCGGTCTTGTTCCACCTTTCACCTCCAACCACCTGTTTGTTATCAGGAATCCTGTTTTAGAAATTTAAGCTGTTTTGACGTTAGTACAGTGTGTGCGTGTGCGTGTGCGTGTGCGTGTGTGTGTGTGTGTGTGTGTGTGTGTGTGTGTGTGTGTGTGTGTGTGTGTGTGTGTGTGTGTGTGTGTGTGTGTGTGTGTGTAGACCAAAAGAATAAGCAGCATATGCGTATTGCATTCTTACAATGTCATTTTATCCAGGAGAAATTCGTTCAGTATAACCTTAATGTTAAAATTCATCATCAAGATTATGTGTAACTTTAAAATGATTGAAAGTACATGAAAATAGGAAAGTTCATCATTAGCAAACAATGCATAGTGTTATGTATTAAATTCTAATTAAATTTAAGTAAGTGGCATTTTTCCATTTGTATTGAAAATATTTGTGGAGATCACACATTGAACTGTATTTAGGAGGTTGAGACACCTGTGACTGTACTGGGTGGGTTTCTGCCTCAGATTCAGGTAATCACTTGGGTTTTACCTCTTCTGGATGAGGAAGGCATCTTGTAAGTTAGAAACAGTGGTCATCATTCATTTTCAATCCTTGAAATAATACCATTACCCTGTTTTAAAAATAATAACATTGAATGTGGCTTGGGGTACTAAAGGCAATTCCTTTTATTTTTCCTAAATTCAAAGCAAGTTAAAAAAAAAAGTAAGCATTTTTCTTAGTTCTTCACCGATGCTAACAGGTAAAAATGGTTTCGCTATCATTTCTTTTTGGATGTACCAGTCGTCTGTTTATATTGCCATCTTCTCTGCTATCAGCCTTCTGGGTTCTTCAGCTTTCTTTGAACCTCGGTGACTTCAGTATTAGAATCTTGATTTTCCTCTCAATCCTGTCTACCATCTTAATTGGTCAAAACTTTTCCACATGCTATCCTAAGCTAAATTTCTTCTATTTCCTTAACTCTGGGAACCTACATCCATAGTCTACTTCATCTGTCCACCAGGTTGGTGGTATCTCGTCAATGAAAGCTGTCTCATTACTAAGATATTAGGATTCCCTCTCTGAATACAACCTTTTTGACATCTAGCTTATCCCTTTTCTCTTTCTTAATTGGATTTGTTTTTCATCCTCCTTGTTAAGTCTAATTTATGACTCCTTTTCAGGTTGCTGCATTTTTCTTCATATTTAACTTAGATTCTGCATCAGTCATTTCTACTACATTTGTACCTACAAGAACCCTAGATTTTCCTCACCCTTTTGACCTCTCAGCATATTTGCCTCCCAGGCCTCTAAACCTAAGTAATTTTCCATTAATCAGCTTTTTGTTTCTGGGCTGCCAACTCTTGTTGCATTGTCCCAGTTTTCTTATCTATAAAAATGTTTTATAACTGAACCATTCTTAGGATTAAATGAAATAGTATCAGTGCCTGGCACTTATTGGCTTCTATTTCCTACTGAAAACTTCTTTCCTTAACCCCGAGCTCTCTCCATTCACTCTCCACCCTCAGATTAACCTAAAATATCCCTCTGTTTCTAGTACCATCTTTGATTAAAAAAAAAACTTCAGGGACAACGATCCAGTACTAAATTAAGGAAGTCCAAATTACCATGCCTGGAGAGTGGGACACCTTGTTCTCCTCCAACATTCAGTAGGCTTTTCCTTTGCTACTCTCCTTTGAATATCTTAAACTTCAGCCTCATTACTCTTGTCCTACAGATACTCTACTTTTTTCCACCGCCAAACCTTTATTGAAAGTTTTTCCATGTGGAGTATCCTACCACCCACATTTTCTCCAGTTAGTTTACGTAGCTCGTGACTTTTTTTTATATAAAGGCTTCCTGATTGCCCCAAAATGAATCATTACCTATGACTTCCAAACTCTTCTGACACTTTATACTGTTGATGGTTATCATAGATTGTCTTATACTAGAATTTATATGTATGTCTTATCTTCTTCAATAAACCATAAGCTCCATGTAGGCATTATTGCTTTTCTTCATAGTGCTTAATACAGTTTTGTGCAATGTAATAGGCATCTAATAAATTTATTAAAGTTATTATTGTCTCCCTAAACCCTTATCTGTAGACAGAGGTAGCAACTTACATGATGTGCTTTGAAGAGACATCTGAATGGGCCCTAGTTGCTTTCCCAGGATCTTTTATACAAAGATATATTCTCCAGGTAGAGAGCAAGGCAAGAATACTCAGAATGGGAATGCCCCAAATTCTGATTGCTTTTTAAATTTTGCTTATGGCTGGGAATTTTTTCTGAGAAAATTTGTTTCATATCAGTGTTTTTACTAGGGAATTTGATTTAGGGACTTTGTCCTAATAATCATTCAGGAATGACTCACGTTGCAGATGCTATGACTAATGTTTTTATATTATTTATGATTAAAAGTGGTTGTGTGATTCTAAATATCTTAGAAGTTTGATTCTGAATATCTTAGGAGTGAGTCTAGATATTTTAGAATACAATTCAAGATATCTAAAGAGTGCAATTTGAGATAACTTGAATGTTGTAGCTACTGTTGGCCCATTGTTTATGAAAGAAAACAGTGTTTTAACAACAACAACAACAAAAATGTTCAAATAGAAAAATATATTCTATTTCTGAAAAATGTTAGCTATTTAATGTGAAGACCCATGACAAAGATTATAACTTAAATTTCTTCATGGCTTCGTTACTATAAATAGAACAGGAAAAGTTTTAACAAAATTATACAGGAAATTTGTGGGGGACTAGAGAAGAGTAATTTTAAATAAGTTTAAGTGCATAAGGTTTTCTTTAGATAAATCAGTTTCATATGTCACTGTGAAGGGTCTCTAATATAATTTTTGGGACCATCTTATCAAAATATTCCTTGTATGTTACATTTATTTTTTAGTATTATTTCTATGCATTTCCTTTGAAAAATAAGATCAATATTAGACTGAAATAAATATTTAGAAAACTTGCATGGTTCATTTAACTATTTAGATTTTTTTTTTTCAAAATGTATTCTTGGGGAAAATATTTAGAAAGCTCCACTCTATCGTCTTATATAATCCATGCAGAGGTATGCTCAGAATGTTCCATTTGCGAGAATGTGAATGCACAGTATTATCTTCAGAAGAATGCACTTATTTGTACATTGATTTTTACCAAAGAGCTTATTCAGATTAGGGAACACAATAAGTTTGGAGGTGGTAATAGACTTTATGCTCAGGGGAAAACTAAACACTTGTTATCCTGAATTAGGTTGGCAGCCTTCTTCTGGCTTAACAGTCTGTTGATACCAGAGCTTAGTAATACCTCCTCTTTAATGACCAAAAGTCACCTTGTATCTGTCATCTTGCCTTTGCAATCTTTTGCTTACATTAAGGGTAGCTACAGTGCCAGCCTGAAAACTCTTGTGCATTTCTGTGTATATCTTGACATCATGGATGGTTGGATTGAAGGAAGGAGGAATGAAAATGTTTTATTTATATGTATAGTATACTGTGGTATAGGTATATATGTGTCTATGTATGTGTGTGTATGTGGTGCTGATGGAGTAAAGGAACTTTTTCACCAGACAGAGCAGCTGTGTGCTTTACTAAGAGTGAATATTAAAGGATACTGCTGTTAGAGACAAGCTGCCCAGGGGCTATCCTCCTTAGAAGATGCTATACTGTACAACAGCATATGTAATGGTGTCTAACAGTACTTGGGAAAAGTTAATTTTTAATGAAAATGTGCTTATAGGCTAAACTGTTACGAATACTACAGAGAATAAGGAAATATGTGGGTATGTTTGTACATCACCTTAGGTCCTTACCTTATATTATAGTCAAGTATTTGCCCAGGATGTGATTATTCCTCACTGAATAGATACTTGTTCCTTTTTCCTCTTTTCTCTTTTTTTGGGGACAATTTTAAATAAGTTTCAATTTGAGAAACTTGATAAAAGATTGATATTAGTCCTCTTTGTTAGCCTGTGGGAGAGTATCTGATGGCCATACTAGTACATTCTCTCTCCTAGAAGAGGAAGGAGTGGAATCAATGCCATGTACAACAGGAGGAGATCTCTCTCTTTTATGCCCCTACCACAGATAAGAATTTGTTTTGATTTGAACAAATCTGAGAATTCCGTGACTGAAAATACAAATAAAGAAAGCATAGAACTCGAAGTTAGAAATCCCAGGCCCTATAGTTGACTCCATAGCTTGCTCTGTGACTTCAAGCAGGTTACCTTAACTCGCTGGCCTTTGACTGTAAAACGACCCAGAGACATGTCACACACGATTTGTGGCCTGATTTGCCTGTCCAGTAGCACCAATTT